CTCTCCCCCTTTTCAAGTCCCGTCTGAAACCCTTCCCCTTCAACCGTGCTTACGGCCACCTCCCCTCTCCCCCCCCCCGGCTCAGAGTCAGGCTCCACCTCCGTTAAGCGCTCTGAGACGCTACCCTGCGTGGAGGGGACTATATAAGTGCTCGTGTTGTTGTTGTAGGTTCAAACCCCGAATCATCACTTTTGAGCTCACAGTTCTGGACAAGGCTTCGAACTGAATAATAATGACAATAATCATTATTGCCTTATCAAGTCGCGATGTCTCAAAGCGCTTCGCAGGGTATAATGTAAAGTGAAATAGGGAGGAGACATTAAATAGGATCACAACCACTTCATTTATTCAAATCAAACCTCTAAACATCAACCTCCTGATGTACATCATACCCAATATAAATATACACATATATTAACACTATAATATCCCTCCCTGTCTGAGGGAGACCAGCTGTCTCCCTGGGCGTAAAGCTATGGACAGCACAAGTAGAAAATTGCGGAAATATTTGCCAAAAATTGCGGAGATGTTTACCCCTTGGAAATGCGGGGGAATTTGATGAATTTGGGAAAATTGCGGTGGGGGTTGAATTGTGCTATTGAGAGGCACATTTTGACTTCTTCACAGTTGTATGCATAGATAATAATAATAATAATAATAATCCTTGCATCTTATACAGCACCTTATCACGTCTTTGAGTCGTCTCAAAGCCCTTCACGAGATAATAATAATAATAATAATAATAATAATAATATAAACTGTGAAGTGAATTGACTGCAGCAGCCAATTGCACACAGCAGCGCCTCCACAAACAGTCGTGGATTGAAACAGAGGTTTGAGCGTCAAATAAACTCCATTTCTAATGGGGTTTTTTTTGTGTGTGGGGGGGGGAAGGAGGGAGGCGTTGTTTGTTTCCGCAAAAGGTGTTGGGCTTGTCATCCTCTTCACATGGGAACCTGTTATGCAAAGCCTCGCTACTTATAATCAATTACTAAAAGGCTACCTGGAAACCTTAAAAGACCCCTCCCCACCCAAACCCAACCCTCCACCACCACCAAAAGCAACGATGGCATTTAATAATATAATAATAATAATATAATAATAATAATAATAATAATAATAATAATAATAATCCTTGCTGTAAGTCGCTGGGAACACGCGGCAGATCAGGCACTATGGAGCGAGGAAAATGAGTGAACAAGAAATGTCATCGACCTGAAACTTTTTAAGCTCATTCTCCTCTCTCCGTGGACTCGGCCTGACCTGCTGCGCGTCCCCAGCCGCTTCTGTCTTTATATCAGATTTCCAGCATCTGCATTATTTTGCCTTTTTGATAACAATCCCTGCATTTGACACAGCGCCTTATCGCGTCTTCGAGACGTCTCAAAGAAGCCCTTCACAGAGTATACTGTAAAGTGAAATTACCGTATATTTTGTCCAACAGCGTCCCCACAAACAGTCGCGTTTTGGAGTGACCCAATTATTACTATTTAAAAAAAATATACATTTTTGAAGGGATTATTACTCCCGGAAAAGAGAGGAGTGTGTGTATGTGTGTGTGTGTGTGTGCGCGCCTTTCACGTCCAAACAGCGCCTTTCACGTCCTAACGCGACATGGGAAGGTGCACGGCCATGTCCCCACGCCTTATGGTGTGGTCGAGACGCCGCTAAAGAGCTTCACTGTGACGTGTAGTGACTGCATTCGTTGCCAAGCGCTCTAACCCTGATTCACGCCCACCCACCCACCCATCCACCCCCACCACCATTCTCCCAGTCCTCAAACCTCTTGGCCTTGATCAATAAAAATATCTTTTACGATCATTGCAAAAATAAAATCTATTATGTACAGTTGTCGCTGGCGAAATCTGGAGCGGGGGGGGGTGGGGGGGAGTCAGATGCCGGGGTGAAAGGTCACTTTCTGAATGTTGGTCAGGATTTTCGTGACGTTGGCTTCGAAATCGGCGTTGTGGACGCCAGTGATGCGGAACGCCCCGGCTCCTTTGTTCTGCTCCCAGTAATGGTGCCAGTGACCCTTGGAGTTACACCCAAACCCGTAGACGTTCACCTGTAGGGTGAAGAGAAAGACGAGGTTATTAATCCACATCAATAAGAATTTGGTGACTCAATCACTCAATCCACCCCTGTCTGTTCCGAATATCACCCGCGCCCCCACCACCCCACCCTTCGCAGAGCTGTCCCTTTGGAATCTCGAAGACCCTAATCATATCGCCCCCCTTCAAGGTTGAGCAGTCTCGGATCGATTTGAAAGCGCTTTGTCAGGTTACAAAGAAATAATAATAATAATAATAGTCCTTGCATTTGATACAGCGCCTTATCACGTCTTCGAGACGTCTCAAAGCGCTTCACAGAACATGCTGTAAAGTGGAGTGACTGCGTAGTTTGTGGGCGAAACACAGCAGCCAATCTGGCACAGCAGCGTCCCACAAACAGTCGTGGATTGAGCGACCAAATTTAAATTTCCCCCCCCCCCCCCCCCCCCACCCGGAAAAGCGATCCGCCAATCAACTAACAACCAGGTTCCTGCTTACTGCTGGGTAAACAGAGGCGTGTGTGTTTGTGTGGAGTAAGGAAACTTGCCTAAGGTTTCGCCCTGTCTGTCCTGCCCGGGAATCGAACCCGGGTCCTCTCGCTTGCGAGGCGAACACTCTAACCACGGGGCTACAGGACTCCCCTTTACCTGATCACAGACGTGCAGCGCGAATATGATGGCCAGCATCCCGGTGGAAGGGGTTCTCCCGTGCCGCTGGTTCCAGTTCTCATAGACGTACTTGAAGAAGTGGGGGTGATAGACTAGGATCTGCAAACAGTGGGGCGCACAATTTACAGGGTGAAAATCTCCTTACGAATATTAGGGGGGCAATTTACAGTGTCCGCTCCCTCGTGCTGGCTCCTAGTGGGAAATGACTCCTGGGATTCAGCTCCCGAAGCACGTCAAGTGGGCAGTGTTTTCAAATCCCTTCATGCCCCGGCATCTCCCCACCTCTCCGACCTGCTTACCCCCCAACCCACAACCCGCTGCCTGAGCTCGACTGGCTTCCGCCTCCTGGGTGTCCCTCGTGCCCTCCGTTCCGCCATCGGTGTGGCCGCACTTCGCCCCCCCGAAACCCTGGAACACTCTCCGCCTTGCCCCTCCCTTCCCCATCTTCGGACCTTCCTCTTGACCCGTGCCTACGGTCGGTTTAAGATCTCCCCCAAAGGACAGCGTCCCTGACAACGCGTAGACCGTGAGCTCAAAGTGCCCGATGTGAAGGCTTGAACGCCACAACCTCTTGATTCAGCGGCGAGAAAGCCGCCTGATGCAACCTTGACTGACTTGATTCCTCCGTAATAATTCCCCAAGGGCACTAATTCCCAAATTGACAAGCAAATCGAGCGATTCTGAGAAATGTCTTTCTTAGGCAAATTAATTATAGGCTGTGGAATGCTTAGCTGCAAGTCACTTGGTGGAGGCAGATTCTATATTAACTTTCACAAGGGAATTAGATCCCTGCCCAAGGAATAAACTCCGGGAGAGCGGAGCACGGGCAGGTACTGATCCAGAACTCCACCGCCCGTATTCTCGCCCACACTAAACTCCGTACCCCCATCACACCGGTCCTCGCCAGGCTCCACTGACTCCCTGCCACACAACGGATCGATTTCAAGACCCTCTCACTCGTCTAAAAAATTTCCCCCCTCCCCCCCTTCCCCCCACCACCTCCCCAAACCACCTCTCTGACCTGCTTTCTCCCCCGACTCCACTACCCGCTGCCTCCGGCCTCCTGCTTGTCCCTCGTTCCCCTCCGCCCCGCCATCAGCCGCTGTGCTTCCGGCCACTACCCCCTGATTTCTCCCGCAATCCCTCCGCCTCGCCACCCCCCCCCCCCCCCTACAGGCACGGGGCTCACTTCCACGTGTATATTACGACCGAACACCTTCCTCTTCGACCGTGTTTACAGTCACCTTTTGTCCCTCACCCCCCCCCCCACCCCGCCCCTCCCACCCCCTTTAAAAAGAATCATCCGTAACGGTTCTAGTTAAGAAAGACCGCAAAATAGCCCACGTGGTCAGAAAGAAGATGCAAACTGACCTTATCTTTGTTGACTTTGATCCTCCTTTTCACAGGTTTGTAAGTTCTGTTCAAGAGAAGACAAAGAGGTCAGGGTCAAGGACGAAATACACAGTCACTCCAGCCGAGGCAACCTCCCATTGCGTAATGTAAGGATTCTTCTTGATCCAATTTATCATATGAGCAACAAAAATAATGGGTTTCCCCTGTAATAACAGCCTTTGATTACAATAATAATTATTATAATCCTCGCCTTTGATATAGCGCCTTATCACGTCTTTGAGACGTCTCAAAACGGGTCGTAGAATATACTGTGAAGTGAATTGACTGTATATTTTGTGGGCGAAACAGAAGCGGGTGGAGTAAGGAAACTCGTCTTACTCGCGTGTCTTTTCGCCCTGCCCCGGGGATCGAAACCCGGGTCCTCCCAGCTTGTGAGGCGAGGGCTATAACCACTAACCTACCGCTTTACCTGGTCACCTCACCGGTTGTGAGTGCGCTGATGATCCACTTGATGTCCAGTACTTTAAAGGGGATCAGGATCACGTGGGTGTTGTTCTCTAGGTCTCTGGCACTCTCCGGGTACATGAAGTGATGGGTGGTCCGACTGCCCACGTCCTGCTGAAAACCCTTCGTTACAGCCTGGTTCATCCTGAGTAAGGATCAAATCAAGAGGGTGATCACCACAGATGCAAATCCGTCACCGTGACCAGCCGGGTGTTCTCTGACCCCACGGGAACTGTGCTTCAGAGTCTTCACACGAGTAATAATTACTACTAATATTTTATTGTTACTGTTATCGTTGTTGTGGTTATTATTGATCTTACTGTTAATAACAACGCAGTACACGATGAATATTCATCTATTGATGGTACACACCATCGAAAAGGAAGGACTTTGGGCCGGAATTGAAGATGGGGAGGGTGGTGGGGGGTGGAGAGGGGGGGGAGGGGGGTGGTGAAGCGCGGAGGGATTGAGGGACGGCTGCTGACCTGAAGACAATTTCGTTGGCGTCGATGTCCTTCCCGTAGCGGGATCCCAGGAGATTGCCTGAATTGCCGACCACGGCGCAAGTCCGACACCCGCGGTGACGTCGGATGAGCAGGTTGTCCTCTCCCCGCCCCAGCTCAAACAGCTTGGCTATAACCTGACTCAGGTTGTCAGGTTTACGCTCTTTCTGCAGTTGCTGAGAGAGACGGAAGAGAAGCTCACGGGGTCAGTTACATTATAACATGAAACAATACAATAATAATCCTTGCGCTTGATATAATAACGTCATCATCATCATCATAATAATCCTCCGATACAGCGCCATCTCACGTCTTCGAGACGTCTCAAAGCGCTTCACAGAATACACTGTAGTGTAGTGACAAGTGTAGTGACTCTTTTTTCGTGGGCGAAACGTGGCATCCAATTGTGCACAGCAGTGACCCAGGTACAGTCGTGGGCTGAGTGATCAAATTATTATTTTATTATTTATTCATTTAAAGGGCTTATTACCCCCGGAAAGTGATTCACCAATCGACTAACGTCTGGGTTCCTACCGCTAGGCAAACAGAGGCGCGTGGAGTAAGAAAACTTGCCTAACAACAACAACACACAGAGTAGCGTCCAGGAGTGCCGAAGGTTTCGCCCTCTGTGTCTCGTTCTCTCTCTCTCTCTCTCTCTTTCTCTCTCGTTCTCTCGCAGTTTCTCTCTCTCTATCGTGTTTCGCCCGCCCACCCGGGAATCGAACTCGGGTCCTCTCGCTTGCAAGGCGATGGCGCTAACCACTACGCCTCAGGACTCCACGAATCCATCATGAGAATAATCTCTCCCCCTCTGCCAGTGTAATCAGGAAGTCTTTCTGCATTCCCCTACACCGCCCAACCACCTTCCCCCACTCCACCCCTCTCCGCCTCACCCCCACCTAAGGGTCCTCGCTTACCATCCACCAATTTCTGGTCTCCTTAGTCAGTGTGTAGTTTGTCCTCGTCAGGAGGGGGATGTGGTCAGGGATGAAGCGTTTATCGAACCAGTTGCTCAAGCCCAGCTCGGACACACAGCGCTCACAATGACACAGTCGCCCATCCCACCTGGCGTTGTAGCTGTAGTAATAGGTGTAGGAGCACAGGAAGATCCCGAGACACAGCAGACTGGTGGTGAGGATCCGAATACCCCTGAGGGTTATTATCCTGTATGGGATCATGGGGAAAAGACTCTATGGCGGTGGATTATTATTTGTGGGTGGTGGGGTGGTGGGGGAGGAGGAGTGGGCAGGGGAATCCTCCGCTCACACGGGGCTCGAGGTTTAAGAACAGGATTATCTATCTTCCAGAGGGAGGGAATGAAGGTCGGGCGTCCCACTCCGACTTTGAGGTTGGGAAGTGAAGCCGAGTCGATCAAAGTGCAGGGGTAGGTTTGTGGGTCTCGAGTCCCGAACGGTCGTCAGCGTCCAAAGCCTACGGAAAAGGATGAGAACGGAGATTAACGATAATTACAATAATAATCCTAATAATAATAATAATAATCCTTATCACGTCTTCGAAACGCCTCGAAGCGCTTCGCGGGACACACTGCAAAGTGAATTGACTGTGTATTTTGTGGGCGAAACGCGGCAGCCGATTGCGCGCAGCAGCGTCCCCGCAAACGACAAAGATAACAGTTACATTTGTGCAGCGCCTTTCACGTTGGGAGGACGTCCCAAGGCAATCGGTCGTGGATCGAGCGACCAAATTATTCTTTTTTCAAGGGATTATTATCCACGAAAAAGCGATCAAAAACAATCGACTATCAACCGGGTTCCTACTTACTGCTGGGAAAACAGAGCAGAGCGGAGTAAGGAAACTTGCCTCACTTTTCACCCCGTCCGGGAATCGAACCCAGATCGTCTCACTCACGAGGCGAGAGCTCTAACCGCTACGCTGCAGGACTCCATAGGTTCAGGCGAAGAAGGCCCTTCGACCTGTTTTGTCTCCCCTATCCTGAGTGTCCGTCCTACACCGCATTCCTACTTCCCATCAGCCTGACCTTTAGATGGACCTCAAAGTCTCTGCCACACTGTTAGAAGATGTGTGACTACCACACCTGAGGCAATGGCATGGAATTGGGTCCAACCTCTGTGAGGGTCTCCAGTCCGGATCCTGAGCCAGGCCAGTCCGCAGTATTCCAGGGCACTCACTGCTGATGACAGCACAGCCCGGCCGGGCTCATCGGCAGGACCTGAAAGGGCCGACCAGTCACTAGGGGGGGCAGGGAATCCTCCCCCTCAGCTCCCATTAACCCTGCAGCCAAAGTCCTAATGGATAGGGTGGTCCGAGCTGGACAAGCAGCGGGAAAGTTTGCCAGACAGCGCTCTCGATGGCCGAGCTATGTGTGGTTTTAATAATAATAATAATTATTATTAATAATAATATTATTACCAAAGCGCTAAAACAGAATTGACCGTATATTTTTGTGGGCTTTAGCTGGTTAGACTCCAGCAGTTACCCCAACGCACACTCTGGGCTATCCCCAAGCCTTGGCTCTCGCCAATCTGCGCCTAATACTCTCCGGAATTAGGTAAGCAGAGTCCCTCCAGGGAGAGAGGGAGAGAGAGAGTGAGAGAGTACATTCCATTCTAACAATCTATCTCTGGGATTTCCATGTGTTGGTTTGGAGACTCTTAAGCAACGGCGATGGGTTTCCAAGTGTTTCAGACACCCGGCTGGGCAAAACAAAATGACACACAGGTTATTATTAACTGAGGATTGAGAGAGGATATTACACTTGTGTTAATTAATACTATCATAATATTAATATTACCTTCACAATCCCTGTCCTCCACCCATCTCTTGACCCCAATCCACAGCTCAAGAACAAATCCCTGGTCTGTCCAGCGATGTGGAGGGCTTTGAGGGCCAGGGCGAGGATTTTGAACTCTATCCTCTGGTGGGATACGGAGCCAGCGAAGCCGGGCGAGGACGGGGGTGATGGGGTCACGGAGCCTGGTGAGGGAGAGGACACGAGCTGCAGAGTTCTGGATGATCTGCAGCTTGTGGAGGGAAGAGTTTGGAAGGCAGGGCGTTGGCATAGTCGAGCCTGGATGTAATAAATGCATGGGTGGGGGGTTTTGCCGGCCTGAGGGGAGAGGCAGTGGCGGAGGTGGGCGATGTTGCGGAGGTGGGGGAAGGCACGGACAAGAGTGAAAAACAGAACTGACTTGAGTTACAGTGACCGAACAAAGCATCATTGATAGACTGAACTGCCAAAACAAATCTAGGCAAATAGGGCCAACAAGTTGTATATCAACGTTGCTTAGTGTAGCGCTCTCTCTCCTCTCTCTCTCTCTTCTGTCTCCCTCTCTCGCTCTCTCTGTCTCGTCTCTGAGTCACAAGGTTGTGGTTCCAAACCCTCACGTCGGGACTTGGAATCACACGGTCTAAGCTAACGTTCCAACGCAGCGCTGTGTGGGGGCAGTTGCATTATCTAAGGTGCCTTCTTCCGGTTGACACGTTAAACCCACGCTCCCGACTGTGCCCGGTTCAGGTGGACGTTAAAGATCCCGCGGGGCTATTGGAAAAGTGAAGGGAGTTTCTCTCTCTCTCTCTCTCTCTCTCTTTTCTCTTCCCAATTTCCTGGCCGACAATCCCCCGAATAAAAATGGTCGCTCGATCCACGGCTGTTCGTGGAACACTGCTGTGAGTAAATTGGCTGCCAGGTTCGCCCTGCAAGACGCACGGTCCCGCTGCACTTTACCGTAAATCCTGCGAAGCGCTTCTCAGCGCAATGATGCGCTTCTCAGCGCATCAAGTCCGAAATGCCATCGTTATTTCATTCGCAGCGAACCTTCAGTCTGGGAAGTGTTTCGAGACGAAAGGCGGCGCAAAAATGCGAGCGGTTGCGTCTTTTTGCGTTTGCAAGCGTATCCATGAACAGATTAGAGTGAGCAGGGAATAAAAGATATAATAATAGCAACAACAACAACAATAATAATAGTCCATATATTTGATTCAGCGCCCGATCATATCGTTGAGAAGTCTCAAAGTGCTTCACAGGATTCATTGCAGCCAATTTTGCACACACCGTGGATTGGCTTCACATTTCATTCACATCGTTTTTAATTAAACGGCAAGTATTTGAAATGTCGTCGACCTCGCCCAACAAAAAAAACCAGCAATGCAGAGCTTTGACAATCATTATTTCGATGCGGTGAAAGAATCTATTGTCTGGTCCTGTCCTCCCACTCCAACCCGGAGTCACAGCCAATCCCAAAAACAATCATTGTACTGGACGTCTGTATTTTGTGGGCGAAGCGCGGCGGCACAATTGCGCACAGCAGTGTCCCTAATTTTATTTTGATGGGGGGGGGGGTGTGGGGCGGGAGGGCCAGGACACCATGAAAAAGAGAGAGAGAGAGAAACTCCCTTCTCTTTTCCAACAGGGATAATAATAATAATAATAATCCTTGCATTTGATATAGCACTTTTCACGTCGGGAGGACGTCCCAAAGCGCTTCACAGAACACACTGTAAAGTGAATTGACTGTATATTTGTGGGCGAACGCGGCAGCCAATTGCGCACAGCGACGTCCCACAAACAGTCGTGGATTAAAAATGACCAATTTATTATTGTTTTTGGTTTTGGAGGGATTATTATTAGGCTCTGTGTGGAGTAAGGAAACTTGCCCAAGGTTTCGCCCTCTGCCTGGAATTGAACTCAGGTCTCTCGCTTGCAAAGCGAGTACTCTAACCACTGAGCTACAGGACTCCACCGGTCACGTGGACTAGTCGGGCTAGCGTAGCGCTTCCGCTTTGCAAATTCTATACCAACGTTCCAGATGAAAAGATTATGTCGATATTCTCCTTAGCAATGAGAATCATCGCAGAGACACAAGTCGCTGGGAACGCCCAACAGCATCTCCGACGAGAGGAAAGTTTCCGATCCACGACCCCTTTCATCAAAAATAGCCGAACGGCCTCTTTTTTGTGCTGTACCATTCTATGATTCTCTGGTTCTACGAAAACTGGGGCACGTTGGGAGGGGAGAGGCTTTTTGTTGCAATCTCACAGTCACTGCACTCTACAGTAAATCCTGTGAAGCGCAAGCAAAGCCACAGGATTTGTAAGTGCAGTGACTGTGTGTTTGGGTGCGCGCAGGAATTGTAAACGCGAGGTCCCACAAACAGCCGTAGAGTGCGCGACCAATTTTATTTGGGAGATTATCAGCCAGGACACCCGAAGAGAGAGAGAGAGAGAGAAAGCGTCAGCCGAGACTCAAAGTGGTTTGCTCACGCGATAAGTTGGCCACATCGAATGAAAGATAATAATAACAGTGCTTGCAATTGATATAGCGCCTTATCGCGTCTTCGAGGCGTCTCAAAGCGCTTCGCAGAATATACAGTGAAGTGTAGTGACTGTAATATTTTGCGAGCGAAACCCGGCAGCCAATTGCGCACAGGACGATTTTTTTTTTTAATTTTATTTTATTTTTAATGATGCATTTCAATTCAAAAGGCAGAGCAGAAGTCCTGTAGCTCAGTGGTTAGAGCACTCGCTTTGCAAGTGAGAGACCTGAGTTCAATTCCAGGCAGAGGGCGAAACCTTGGGCAAGTTTCCTTACTCCGCACAGAGCCTAATAATAATCCCACAAACCAAAAACAATAATAAATTGGTCATTTTCTATCTACGACTGTTTGTGGGACATTGCTGTGCGCAATTGGCTGCCGCGTTCGCCCACAAATATACAGTCAATTCACTTTACAGTGTGTTCTGTGAAGCGCTTTGGGACGTCCTCCCGACGTGAAAAGCGCTATATCAAATGCAAGGATTATTATTATTATTATTTATCATTCCCCAAACACACCCGTTGAAACTTTCACTCACAAATGAACAGTATCTCTCTCTCCGTCCCTCACGTCTTTCTCTCTCTCTCTCTCTCTCTCTCTCTCTCTCTCTCTCTATCCCCTACAAAATATATAGTCAATTCACTTTACAGTATAACCTGCGAAGCGCTTTAAGACGTCTCGAAGACCTGATAAGACGTGATCAATTGTGAGGATTATTATTATTATTATTATTATTATTATATATTATTCGTTCCCTCGGGGCCAACAACAACAAAAAAGCAAAACAATGACATTTTCTCAAACTTTGCCACCAAATCGATTCTCTTACGCCCCTCCCACCGCCACCACCACTCGACCCCGTCGCAAAAAACAAACCCATCAAACTAAAAACACATACACAATCAAGTAATTCACCACACAGTAAATTGTACTATATTTCCTTTTGTAAGGGAACAGATTAATTTGCAATCCTTGAGATAATAAGTTAATAAATAATAATAATAAATAATAATGGGGGGGGGGTGGGGGTGGGTTTCTGGGGGAGGGAAGGAAAGAGAGGAAGGCAGGGAGAGAGAGAAATCAAAAAAGAAAATAAATTGAAGACGACATTTGCTTCGACCCAAAAAGAATGCACTTACTTCCCTCGCGAGTTATGGTGAGGTACCTCTAGTCTGTCTAGTCTCTGGTTTTAGAGATAAAAAATAATCTTTACGACACACCCACACACGCCTCCCCCCCACCCCGTCCCTCCTTAAACTGCAGGCAAAAGTTCACCCTCGTAGTGCAGAGGAATTTAATGCTTCGTGTTTGAACACGATAGTATTCTGCTACAGCTCCGTCGGTCGTCAGTCAGACAGTTGTTTGAGCTTCACTGGGTGGGAAATTAACAAGCCATGCTCTACCTCACTGACGTGAGTAATTTGCAGGATTTAAATAACCTGAAAGCCAGATGGTCAATATGGGAGTTTCTTTCAGTTCAAGCGCTTGTTAACTGACGATAAAAGCCTTCCTCCCGTCCACCCTTATTTACGCTGACCAAACATAGTCGTCCCGTAGTGGTTAGCAACCTCGCCTCGCGAGCGAGAGGTTCGATTCCCGGGTCGGGTAAAACCTTGGGCAAGTCTCCTTACTCCACCCGCCTCCATTCTCCCAGCAGTTAAGTAGGAACCCGGTTGTTAGTCGAGTGACGGTTTGCTTTGCCCGGGGTTGGTTGGTTGGGGGGGGGGGGGGTGGTAATAAAGCCCTCAACGAAATAATGACAAGGGTAAATTTTGTCGATCGATCCACAAACTCCGCAATCGGCTGCCGCGTTTCGGCCACAAAATACACAGTCACTCCGCTTTACCGTATGTTCTGTGAAGCGCTTTGAGACGTCTCCCCAACGTGATAAGGCGCTGTATCAGATGCAGGGATTGTTATTATTCGGAGCGTCGTTGGCCAAGACACCAGGAGAGAGAAATAATAATAATAATAATCCATACATTTATACATTTGATACAGTGCCTTAGCGTGTCGGTGAGAACGTCTCGAAGCGCTTCACGCTGTTCGCTGTAAAATGTAGCGGCGGCGTTTTATGGGCGAACGACGCAGTTACCTTTGAACACGGCAGTGTCCCACAAGCAGCTACGAAGTGAGAGACCAATTTTATCTGGGAGGATGGTTGGCCAGGACATCAGGAGAGCCCGAGTAACTCCCTTCTCCTTTCGAATAGCGCCGTGTGATCTTTGACGTCCACCGTGAACAGGACGCAGACGTCCTTCAACTTCCTGAAAAGGCAACACCACCACCCACCACCACCCCCTCCACCCCGATATGGTATTATATTCAATCAATAAGGAACTGGACTCAGGTTTCGGACTGATTATCTCTTTCCACATCAAATTTATGACCCAATAAATAGACTTGTTTACCAAAGCACCGTAACGCACTGCAATCGTACAGCAACAAATTGCAACTGTAGGACATCTTTTACGTCAAGTGCAACGATGATTGCGCAAGGACAGTGGGGTGGGGAGGCTTTGATCCGCGTGTAGCCTGCACAGCAAGTCTTGTATTTGATTTAGTGCCTTAAAAAATACTACTACGATAGTAGTTTAGAATTATAATCCTCGCATTTGACCCGGCGCCTTATCTCGTCTTCGAGACGTCTCAAAGCGAGGGAGGGGTGTGGGGGGGGGGGGGGGGGGGGGGGGGGGGGGGGGGGGGGGGGGGGGTGGGGGGGGGGGGGGGAGGTGACCGTGAGCACGATCAAAAAGGAAGGTCTTTAGGCGGGATTTGATAAGGGAGAGGGAGGGGGCGAGGCGGAGGGATTGGGGGAGACAGTTCCCTCAAATTTTTTTCGGTCAACCAGGTGTCCGACACATGAGGAAACTCATGAGAGTCTGCGAACCAAACATCCCACCTACACGTGGAAAATCCCAGAGATAAATTGTTGGAATGGAATGCACTCTCTCTCTCTCTCTCTCTCTCTTAGCTCTCCCTGGAGGGACGCCCCGCCCCCCCCTGCTTACCTAATTCCGGAGAGTATTAGGCGCAGGTTGGCGAGAACCAAGGCTTGTGGGGGGGGAGCCCAAGAGTGTGCGTTGGGGGTAACTGCTGGAGTCTAACCAGCTAAACCCACGCACAGCTCGGCCATCGAGAGCGCTGTCTGGCCAAGCTTTCCCGCCACTTGTCCAGCCGAGGACCCCCCTCCCCGTTAGTTAGGGCTTAACAGGAGCTGAGGGGGAGGATTCCCTGCCCCCAGTGCCTGGTCTACTTGTTTGACTGCTTGTTTGACTGAATGGTTTGGATGTTATTCACTTGAAAAAAAAAAGGAACAGTGGAAACTAATGTACAGTTCTGATGAAGTCTTTATCTCTTAATATTGACACAGAAATGAAGGGGGAGATTGTTTGGCATTAGCTTCCGCATGGTTTATCAGTTCAGACGTCATGTTTGTGAGCTTTAGCTTACTGAAGGGAGCAAAGGACGGGCATTGCTACACTGAGCGTCCTTATCACACCGAATCTCCAGTTACGTTCACTGTAGTGACTGTTTGCACGTTCAAATCACAGCAGACGCATTCAATGCACACAGCAACGTCACACAAACAGCCATGGGAAGAAGTGACTAATTTTATTTGGAGTCGTGCGGCTCAGTGGTTAGAACTCTCGCCTGGCAAGCGAGAGGGACCTGGGTTCGATTCCCGGGCAGGGCGAAACGTTAGGTAAGTTTGTTTGCTCCACACACCTCTGTTTGCCAGCAGCGAGGAGGGGGGGTAGAGAGTCGAGAGGGGAGCTGAAGGCACAGACAAAGAGAAAGGTGTTGAGACCGGCCTTGAAGGAGGAAAGGGAGGAAGGGAGGAATACCTCACGTTTCTCTCTCTTGCTGCTGCATTAACAACAACAACAACTTGGATTTATATAGTGCCCTCCGCGCAGAGCTCGGGGGAGCAAGGCCATGGAGGGCTTTGAAGGTGACAACCAGGATCTTGAACTGTATCCTCTTGGTGACTTGCAAATGTATGCAGATGACACCCAACTCTACCTCTCTGCCTCCACCCTTGACTCTAGGACTACTGCTGTGCTGACAGAATGTCTGTCAGACATCTAGTCCTGGATGAGAGCTAACTTCCTTCAGTTGAACGTCAACAAGACCGAGGCTCTCCGCAGGCGCTGACGGCATCACCATCCATGGTTGCACACTCCACCTTGTTATGCCAGTCCGGAACCCTGGGATCTTGTTTGACCCTCAGCTATCCTTTCTACCCCACATCTGTGCCATGACCCACTCTGCCTCCCCCCACCTCCACAACGTCGCCCGGCTCCAACACTGTCTCACACCGCAGGCCACCGAAACCCTCATACATGCCTTCATTACATCGAGGCTCGACTATGCAAACTCCCTGCTTGTGGGCCTCCCCAACTCATCCAGCCACAGGCTGCAGATCATCCAGAACTCTGCAGCCCGTGTCCTCTCCCGCACCAGGCATCGCGATCCTATCACCCCCACCCTCGCCCAACTCCACTGGCTTCCCATCACACAGAGGATACAATTCAAGATCCTGGTCCTCACCTTCAAAGCCCTCCACGGTCTTGCTCCCCCCACCTCTCTGATCTCCTAATCGTCTACCATCTTGTTCGCTCCTTCCGCTCAGTAGCCTCCGGCCTGCTTCACATCTATTGGTGGGCGGCCCTTCTGCCATTCTGCCCCCACTCTCTGGAACTCCACCCTGCAGTCCCTCCATCTCGCCCGCTCCCTTGCCACCTTCAAGGCCCATCTCAGACCCTCCTCTTCAACTGTGCTTTCGTTCTCCCTGCTTCCCCCCACCCCGAGCCCCAGCTTGGGTCTGTAACTCTGCCTATCCAGCGCCTTGGGATGTCCACCCGACGTGAAAGGCGCTATACAAATGTAATCTTGTTGTTGTTGTATCCTCTGTGTGATGGGAAGCCAGTGGAATCGGGCAAGGATAGGGGTGATGGGGTTCGCGGAGTCTGGTGCGGGAGATAACATGGCTAGTGGAAAGGTGTGGTGTGACAAAACCTACCTAACGTTTCTTTCAGTAATAGCTGAAAGCGTCGCTATCGCAATCAATCACTATCGCCCTGAATGCTCCTCAGGTCAAATGCTGTCAAGGTGAGACACATAAATGTCGAAAGCCTGACAATTATCTCAGCCAAATACACGTTTCACTACCAGGAAACCCATCTCTATCTTTGCTTCCTGTCTGCGCGTTTTCGGAATTAATTTACATTTTACAACACTTCACATTTCCCGCTCTTGCTGCTGCATTAAAGGGGTCAAGTAGTCATCCCAATCAGCTCCTGTTAATCCCTGCAGCCAATGGGTAGAGTGGTCCTAGCTGGATAAGCAGCGCTCACAATGGTGGCCAAGCTATGTGTGGTTTCAGCAGTTACCCCAACACACACACTCGGAGGTCCCCAAGCCTTGCTAACTTGCTGACCTCTTTACAGCATATCCTGTGAAGCACTTTGAGATGTCTCGAGATGGGATGACGCTCTATATTGAATGCAAGGGTTATTATTGTGACAGTTATTTTGAGGGAGATTGGGATGGAGCCTGAGGAGAGGGACTGGTTGAGTGTGTCGGCCAGCAGGGGCAGAGGAGGGTGAGTTGAGTGGACAGTAGTTGGGTGGGGACGGGGTTGAGGCAGCAGGTAGTGGGCTTCATATGGGTGATGATGGTTGAGAGGGAAGAAAGAGAAATGGGGGAAAGGAGTGTAGGGCGATAGGAGCCATGGTGGAGGGAGTGGGTGATGAAGAAGCTGTGGGGGCAAGGAGGGGGTAGGCAGGGAGGAAAAGGAGGCAGATATTTTCTACCTTTGAGAGCAGGAAGTCCAGGACCTCTAAATTATTAACCCCGTGCTTAAGAGTCTCCAAACCAAGCTGAGATTTCCACGCATCCCATCCATTCCTAGACCTCATCGTTGGAGGAGGTGTAGCTTATAGAATAAGAAATACAAGGACTCTGTGGATGGGGCACTTGTCATGGGGGAGACTGAAAAAGAATCGAGGAATATCGATTCACTTATTGCTGTCGGTTGACGCAATGTGCGGCAGCAATTAAAACGACAAACAAAATGCTGGATTGCCGCAAGATTGTTAAATCAGTTTACTTTATGAGTGCTCCTACGTCATTCTCAGGCTGTTCAATGCAACATCTGATAAGCTCGGGTTTCAGTCACCAATTCTTCTCTCTCGTCAACCCGCATCAAATACTCTCCGGAATTAGTTAAGCAGGATGTGTCCCTCCGGAGAGCGCGGAAGAAAGAGAGAGAGAGAGAGTGCGTGGTTTCCATTCCAACAATCTATCTCTGGGTTTTCCTTGTGTAGGGTGGGATGCGTGGAATTCTCAGTTGGGTTTGGGAGACTCTTAGGTAACTGGGAATAGGTATGCGTGAGTGTCGGGCATTTGGTTGACTCCCGAAAAGAAAAGGTTCGCGCGAAAGAATGCAGTGGTGTGTCAGCTTTTTCCATTCCTTGAATTCCTAACCTTTGGCTCAGAGTTTGCGGTTAACTGAGCCCAGGTAACATTTGCGTGGAAATCTCAGTTCTGGTTTGGTTATTCTTATGTAAAGAGTAAACAGTTGTTGCTAATGTAAATCTTTCCTCTAACGACTGGGGAATAGGCAGTTGTCATGCCCCAGGTTGGCTGGTCTCTGTTCGCAAGCCCGTGGGAGGAAGGGTGTGGGTAGAGGCAGAGAGGCTGAAGACCTGGACTAGTGACCCCATCACCCCCAACCCTTGCCCGGCTCCACTGGCTCTCCATCCCCCCCCCCCCAAGAGGATAGAGTTCACAATCCTGGTCCTCGCTTTCAAAGCCCTCCTCAGTCTTACCCCTCCCTACATCTGCGATCTGCTGACTCCATAACTACCTGCTTTGACTCCCTCCACTCGGCGGCCTCCGCTGTGAGCAAAATGTCTGGCGGGTTTGCCTGCACAAAAAAATAGTCACTTCACTTGATGGGAATTGACATTATCGCTTTGAGACACTTCACCCCCCCCATCACCACCACCATCAAATGATGGTGGGTTCAAGCCCCCAAAACAGGACAAGTGATGGGGGGGGTGGGGGGGGTGGGGGGGGCACCTCCGCCTTGTCAGAGGTGCCGTCCTTCAGGTCAGACG